ACTGAGGAGGTGGTAAGGCCTTGGTGAAAATGTCTGCAAGTTGTTGAGAAGAAGAGATATGTTAAGGAAAAACAAAACCTTCCTTGAACTTATCCCGCACAAGATGACAATCAATTTCCAAATGCTTGGTACGTTCATGAAAAACCGGGTTCGCCGTTATGTGAAGAGCTGATTTGTTATCACACCACAAAGGAATAGGTGGAGATAGGTTAATCTGAAAATCAGCCAGTATATAGCTAATCCATTGAAGCTCACAAACGGTTGCAGCAAGACTCCTGTACTCCACCTCTGTAATGGATCTTGAGACGGTGCTCTACTTCTTAGTTTTCCAAGAGATCAAAGTATCACCCAAGAAAATGCAAAACCCAGTGAGGGATTGTCGAGTATCAACACAGGACGCCCAATTTGAATCAGAATAAGCTGTTAAAGAAGAAATTTTCTGAATATGAAAGACCAGTCCTTTAGAGGGACAACCCTTTAAGTACTTCAATAGGTGCAAAGCTGTCTCCCAATGAATTTGGCAAGGAGAGTTAACAAATTGACTCAATTGTTGTATCCCATACGTAAGATCTGGTCGTGTTAGATTCAAGTAAAGAAGCCGTCCAATCAGTCTTCGATACTTTGCTGGATCTGAAAATAATTGTCCATCATTCTGGGTTAATTTGGTTCCTTTAAGAATGGGAACACCAACCGGCTTAGCACCAGAGAGACCAGCATCCTTGATTATATCCAAAATGTATTTTCTTTGATTCACATAAGTATCATCCTTTCCTCTCGCAATCTCTAGGCCCAAAAAATACTTTGCATACCCCAAGTCTTTGATGGTAAACTTGGAATGCAAAAACTGTTTAACAGATGCTATATCTGATTCATGTGTACACGTGATCAAAATGTCGTTCACATAAATGAGAGGAAAAATGCTGGGATCAGGAGATTGTTTCACAAAAAAACAATAATCATGCTGCGACTGCNCATGTGTACTCGTGATCAAAATGTCGTTCACATAAATGAGAGGAAAAATGCTGGGATCAGGAGATTGTTTCACAAAAAAACAATAATCATGCTGCGACTGAACAAATCCAAAACCAGTAAGTTTATGACAAAACTCTATATTCCATTGTCGTGAGGCCTGTTTCAAACCCTACAGGCTTCGTTTTAACCTGCATACCCGACCTGCTAAAGCCTGTCTATATCCTGCTGGTGGTTCCATATATATCTCTTCATTAAAATACCCGTGCAAAAAGGCATTATTTATGTCTAGCTGGTGAATAGGCCAAGCCTTTACCGATGCAACCACAAGAAAAATTCGCACCGTCACTAA